CAGCTAGAAAACCACCCAACACCTTTTTGTTTGCCTGTCTATGGTGAGGAAAAACTTGGGTTCTTGAACATGTATATTTATCAATAAAAGTCCTAACTTGAAACATTTCGCAATCTTTTATCCTCTTTGCAATCATATGCCACGTACAGTTTTTGTCAATCATACACCTTGTTTCGAAACGATCTTTGCTTGATTTGTTAACTTTTAGTTGATAGCCATCTTCCACACATTTCGTACAAGCTCTTCAAGTCTTCCTTTGTATCAAAACAATCATCTTTTCTTGATACGAATAATTTTGTGTAACAATCAACTGCTATCTTTACCAACTCTTCTTCTGGTATCTGAAGTAATTCTGGCATATTCCAGTTATACTCTCGTGGTATTTTCTTCGGGGACTTTTCTTTGGGGATTTCTTCTTCTTCTTTTTCTTCTTCAGTGTTATATGAATTACAGAATGGATGTTCAACATGTTCATTTACTTCCTCCTCATTATCATCAACAATATCTTCCTCGGCAACGGCTGTTTCATCATCAAAATTCGGGTATTGACCAATATCAAAATCATTACACGCAGGGTCTGTTTCTTCTTCTGAAAAATCATCAAAATCCGAGTATTGACCAAGATCAAAGTCCGGGTATTGACCAAGATCAAATTTCGAATACTGACTAGTACTCATAATTTTTTCTGTTGGTTCATCATCGTCTAACTGGTCAATACGAAAACCGGAATTTGGTGCTGAAAGTTGATTGGGATTTGGATTAGGGAAAGGTTGTGGGTTTTGAGATTGTGTTTGGTATTGGAAATGTGGTGAAACAATATTTGCTTGGTGATGAAATTGTGGTTGAACCATTAAATTTTGAGCACCATAAACTGGGGTTGAAAAACTTAGTTGAGTACTACCCGCTACTGACCCAACTTCACTACTTCTAGGTTCAACAACATACAATGTAACATCATCACTTGAAACACTAATGTAAGCAATGAATCGTTCAACATCTTCATTGTCGGTTAACAAATAAATTTTACCATTTCTCTGATAAGATAGCCTAAATCCACTTAGGGGCTCTAAATTCAATTTATTTGCAACACGTAACATTAGAGTTTCATAAGTTAACTTTTTTAATGACAGTTTTAGTTGAAAATTCATGGGTAAAGGCATATATTGTAAAACACCATGAACATTCTCCTATGACCCTCCAAAACACAAATCTATCCAAACATGATCAACATTAGATGATTTCATTATTGTAAATTAATTTACTAAACAAACGAGCTGCGAAACTAAAACCTGTTGGCGGATGGGGAAGGATGTCGTTGGATATAGGAACGGATGTCGCCGGAGAGAGTGATAGATGGAGATGGAATGAGTTGTGATTTAGGGATTTAGGTTATGAGTTGCTGTTGCTACGTAGTTATATACTCAAAACATTTGTGTTGCGAAACTAAAACCTGTTGCGAATTCAGAAATCGAGTTGCGAATTTGAAATTCAGTATTGCGATAGTCAGAATCTCGTTGCGATAGTCAGATTCGCGTTGCGATTTACGTATTCGCATTGCGAAGTAGGAAAATCGCAACGTGAATTTGGAAAATCGCAATGCGATAGTCAGAATCGCGTTGCGAATCTGAAAACTGATTTGCGATACCGGAGATCGCGTTGCGAATTATCGATCGCATTGCGATTTAGTTGGTCATTTTGGTAAATCCAAAAAAAATTTGGTTAAAATCGTATATTATAAGATATTTTTGGACACTGAGATTATTTTCTCTTAAAATTTTATGTAGTTGAGTTATCATTCGTAAACTTTCAGTGTAGATTTTATTTTATTATAGTTTAAATCTTATTTTATGTGGACTCTATTTAATTTATATATTATTTTAATTTAGCAATCAAATAAGAGTTTTTGTTACGATAATGAATAAAAAAAATAAGATAAAAATGGAAGTATTAGAATTAATGTGAAAAAATCTTTAAAAATAATTTTAAGGATAATTTGTATATATTATTATTTTATAATTTCTTCAATTAAGTTTTTTTTTTCAAATAAAAATAAGATTCTTTTTATATTTATGTCAGGTTAAATCCAACGGCTGTCATATAAAGTTTTTTTGGATTAAGAATTTAATCCAACGGCTGTCATAAACCCGCCATAAGTTTAACCGTATTTTAAAGTTTTGGTTCGTAAGAATGATTGAAAATCTGTTTGGGTATCTCTTTCATCTAATAAAAGCACAGCAACAGTTGAGGGCAGTCCAACATTCACTCCCGGCCATACATTTCCCAACAAAAGGCAAAGCAATCCGTTTTCTTCAATTCCCCATCACCTTGATCTTCCCACGGAAAACTAAGAGAGAAGAATCAAAACCCTTGTGAAGAAACCATGAGAGAAATCTTGCATATCCAAGGAGGTCAATGTGGGAACCAGATCGGGGCCAAGTTCTGGGAAGTCATATGCGACGAGCATGGAATCGACAACACCGGCAAGTATAACGGCGACTCCGAACTTCAGCTGGAGCGTATTAATGTCTACTTCAATGAAGCCAGTGGCGGTAGGTATGTCCCTCGCGCCGTTCTCATGGATCTGGAACCCGGCACCATGGACTCCGTCAGATCTGGTCCCGTTGGGCAGATCTTTCGTCCCGATAACTTCGTCTTCGGTCAGTCTGGTGCTGGGAACAACTGGGCCAAGGGTCATTACACCGAGGGAGCAGAGCTCATTGATTCCGTTCTTGATGTCGTAAGAAAAGAAGCTGAGAATTGTGATTGTTTGCAGGGTATCTATCATCCCTAGAACTTTTTACATTTTTTTATTTGCATGTTTTATTCGTTTTTACATTAAATTTCTATTGTATTTGTCCTCAATTTTCGCTTTCTGAAATTGGGCTTGTCCTTGATTTTTGGTTAATTGTTCCGATAACATTTTTGTAGTTCAGATTATATGTTCTTCTATGTTATACATACGGAACATGACCGTCTTGAAGTAAAATTGTGATCTAGAAGAATGAATTTGTTAAGGCTTTGAATCTATATTATGATATCTTTAATTGTCTTGTGTTTGAGGAATTGAAATTTATTTTCACCTGTCTTGCTTTGAAGTTTTTGTGGTTGCCTTATGGTCTGTTTTTGCATTTAGCTTGGTGTACAATTTCCATGAAAGCTGTTCTGGTTGGTTTGTTTTTGTATAGAAAATATATGTTGCAAGCTTGTCCTCTTTAATTCCATTTAACTTGATTATCCGACCCATTTGTTTATGTTTCATGTAATTGTATTTAATATCAATCTTGTCTATATTGTCTGCTCAGCTGGCTTGGTTCCTTTTCAGTTCATACAATCTTAAGTTTTGAACTTGCTCTTGCTTTAGAGCTTTGGCCTAAGAAAGAAATAAGCCGTGACTTCCTTCAATTCTCACTTTTATGTGCCTTTGCGACAGGATTTCAAGTTTGTCATTCTTTGGGAGGGGGTACTGGATCTGGAATGGGAACCCTTCTTATTTCCAAAATTAGGGAGGAGTATCCAGATCGCATGATGTTGACGTTTTCTGTCTTCCCTTCTCCTAAGGTGTCCGATACAGTTGTTGAACCATACAATGCTACCCTTTCTGTTCATCAGCTTGTTGAGAACGCTGATGAATGCATGGTGTTGGACAATGAAGCTCTGTATGACATCTGCTTCCGCACCCTCAAGCTCGCCACCCCAACTTGTATGTTCTGATTTTTCATTACAAATGGCCTAGTTTTATTTGCCTAAATCAGTTTCCGAAATCCAATTATATATGATCTGCCTGCCGTCTGATTCTTCTTTAAACTTGACTCAGTTGGTGATCTTAACCACCTCATCTCTGCTACCATGAGTGGTGTCACATGCTGTCTTAGGTTCCCTGGACAGCTGAACTCTGATCTCCGTAAGCTGGCCGTTAATCTTATCCCCTTCCCTCGACTACACTTCTTCATGGTTGGATTTGCACCCTTGACATCCAGAGGATCACAGCAGTACAGGAACCTGACTGTTCCTGAGCTGACTCAGCAGATGTGGGATGCCAAAAACATGATGTGTGTGCTGCTGACCCACGCCATGGCCGTTACCTAACTGCTTCTGCCATGTTCCGGGGTAAGATGAGCACTAAGGAGGTTGACGAACAAATGATCAATGTCCAGAATAAGAATTCGTCATACTTTGTTGAGTGGATTCCTAACAACGTGAAGTCTAGCGTGTGTGACATCCCACCCAAGGGTCTGAAAATGGCATCCAATTTCATCGGAAATTCAACTTCGATTCAAGAAATGTTTAGGAGGGTTAGCGAACAGTTTACAGCAATGTTCAGGAGGAAAGCTTTCTTGCACTGGTACACTGGCGAGGGAATGGATGAGATGGAGTTTACTGAAGCCGAGAGCAATATGAATGATTTAGTTGCGGAGTATCAGCAATACCAGGACGCAACCGCGGATGACGAGTACGAGGAAGGGGAAGAAGAAGTGGAGGAGGAGCTTGATGCTTGAGTGATATAGTGATATGTATATCTTGGTTGGGTGTTATTTATGTTGTCAAACTTCAGTTGACATAACATAATATGTATGATTGTTGTTCGTCCTTGTATCTTTGATGGACTTGTCTCTGCAGTTGCTTCTAAAGCTTTTGATGAATGACAAGGCTTGAAGGTTATATGATTTGTCTGCTACTATTTCTTTTTATATTTTAAGAAGTAAAAAAATTATATTGTTTGAGATTAGAAATTAGATAATTTTGTTAATTCTGAAATATAAAAATACTACTGAAAAACATGTACAACAGTTGTGGAGCCAGATGAACACAATTACTGGACAGTATAACTAAATTCTACTTTAATAGGAGACGTTCACAAATACAATACTCTGCAACTATTTGAGTTCATTTATAATGCTTCTTCACAACACATGCAATGAATAGAAGCTGAAGATATACAAAGAATTAATGGCGGCTATGGCAGAAAGGCAGTTGGAAGAGAAAAAAAATCACACTTAAACACCATCAAACTAAAGCCTAAATGGAAAGTCTTCATGTACTGGTTATGTCCCGGAAAACCTGAAGCCGATTCCTCCTTGATGAACTATTGCTTGGTGAGGCATTGTATCCACCCGTCATACCAAGTGATTGAGTTATATTTCGAATATGATGCTTAGAATGAACAGAATACTGATAAATTATGTTGGAATTCAGATTTTCATCACCGAAGTCATCATCCTTGTTAAACCCATCATCAGAGCTCTTCCCCAGATATTTTTTTCCACACTGAAATTCTTTTTTCTCTTCTTCTTCAACAATGTCTGCCCATGTTTTCTTATTTGGTGCAGCATTTGCCAGTTTTTTCCAGTTCAATTTCTGGTTCATCTTTAGAAGAAACAGATGGTTCTACATTAAGACTTTGCACAGGATGAGTAGTCACACCGCTTGATTGCTTACTGAATGAATCGTCAACGGATTCTTCAGCCCATCTTCTCCTTCTATGATCTCTATTATTTAGCCACGACGAGGAGTTTCTTGGCTGAGTGAATGAGCCTTCCTGAGCCTCTTCTTCCTTTTCTAGGCCAACTGCAGAGTTTTTGGGCTTCACATTACTCGAAGAAGGTGGTTCTTCTTTAAGATTCTGGATTGAAGGTGAAGGCACACTTTCAGTGGTTACAGTTTGATCAAAACATAGCTTTCGAATTGAATTTCTAACTGTATCTTCTCCCCATCTTCCTCCTCTCCTCTGATCTGGAGTGTTGAAACCCCAAGAACATCGTCTTGGTTGGGTTAACAAAACTTCAGAGTTCTTCCTACAGCTTTCTTTCAGCTTGCTGGAGTACACTGACCCTTCACTCGGTTGTTCGAAATACGATCCTTTTCTCCACCTCTCAGTTTGTGGAGTAGTCTGCAAAATATCTTTCGGTCCAGTCGGTGTGGATTGTGAACTTGTGTTATTATATCCACGGTATGATTCACTGTTTTGCTCATCTGCATGAGGCAATCTTCTCCTGTTCATACGCCAAGCACTATTGTCTTCACTTTTGGGAAGGAAAACACTAGCTTCCTTCAAAGTTCTATCCCTGTGTGATGTTGAGTATCTTCGAGTTTCTTTCCCTTTATCCGGTTCCTGTGCCACGGCCAGCTCTAACGTTGACTGAGACTCTACTTGCACCAGCATTTCCATTGCACGTTCATACGATTTCGAGTAGGATTCATCCATCTCTTCAGTTCCAGCTGAAGCTTTAACTTCCTGAAGCAGTGACTTTGCTTCACTGATCCTATTCATGTGCATCAAGCATATTGCCAGGTTGCATTGCTTATTCTTATCTGACTCCAGAGACAGAGCTTTTCTGTGATGTTACAAAAATCAATGTCAAATATATTTATTTACTCACACATGTATATATAAACATTCAATAGCATACCTGTAATGTTGTTCACCAATTCCATAATTATGTTGCTGGAGATAGGCCCAGGCCAGATTTCCTAGTATCCTGAAACGCATACAAATTATAAGTTCAACAAATAAAGGTTATGAATGCAATCAATATATCCCACCTTGCTTTCTCTTGTTCAATAGTAATCTGAATCTTCTTCCCTTGAGATCTTGCAATCTTTGTCTTCTTCCCACCGAATACGGTTCCTTCCTCGATGTTCCTCAGTTTGTTCTGAAGGATTTCAATCTCTTCATCAACCCTTCCAGACCTCTGCAACAACAAACGATTCTTAAAAATGTGCAGGGAAAAGATTTGTATTTACTCATGAGCTCTCATTAATGTGCTAGAACTAAACTAGACTCATTCATCTGAACTTAATAATAGCATGTGAATGAAAAGTAAGCTTTGACAGAAGCAAATGAACATTTAAAGATAAAGATTGGAACGGTACCTTGTAGAGTTCAACAAGGACATTATCAAGAGACTCATGAGAATCATGAGGACAAAGATGGCGGAAAGATTTGATAGCCTCAATAGCCTCATCAGTTCTATTCAGTTGTTTCATTACGACAGCCATGTCTTTCAATGCACTATCAACACGATCTCCGGCATTAATGGCTGCCCAGAACAGGGAAACGGCCTTGTTTGGGTCCTTGTCTATCAACTGCGCATCCATAACCAAAATATAAACGTAAAGTAAGCTCACACTGAACTCTAAACCCTAAACTAATAATGAAACCCAAACATGTATAAGGCCAATGGGGGGATGAAAGAAACGTGGGAAGAAGGAAAAACAAGAAACTTTAGGGGATTAATCCATACAAAAGAACCATTAATCAAGAAAATATCAAGGAAACAGTAAGAAGAAAATTGTTTATGAGGGGAAATGGTGTAATTAACCTGAACGTGCTTTGCCCTGCCATAAGGAGAATCGGAAGCTGGGACCTTGTGGATAACATGGAAGTCGCCATTATTGGCCGGCAAAATGCTTTTCCTCTCCGACAATGGCAAGACGGTGGCGAACTGCGTTTTCTTCCATGCAGGGGGCTGTGGGGTCAAGAAACCTCTCCCTGGTAAGTTTTTGTCGCTTGACCACATCGATTCTCTGTTTTTCTCGGCAAAGTCACCAAACCCTTTTCAAGATTGTCCAAGAAAGTGTTTCTATCAGTCGAAAAGAAGAATTTTCGATGGATATACTAATACTGCAACTCTTACTACCCTGAATAAAGGAAAAGAGTCTTTATTAATTTGGACAAAGCTGTTGAATTTCTCTTCAATTCTCTCTTGCGATGTGATTTAGGGAAGGGAAAGTCACTTTATCTCAGAATTATGTTTGCACTTTGATAAAAAAAAAAGATTCCAGTAAACAATGAGAAACTGAGAGAAAATTGAAAGAGAAAAAGTATGAAGACGATGATGATTGATGATTACGGGAGGAGACATCGGATGACAATCAAAAAAGTAGTAGCCGTTATATAATTACTAGCCGTTGGGGTTTTACCGTGATTTTTTTAATAACCATTTAATGATCGATTAATCACGATCAAATACTAGAAGGCTAAGAGTTATCATCTCAACTCAGTTTGATATTTCATTTACTAATATCGTAATTCGAACTCCTAACCTTACTTAGGGATCAAATGTCTCATTTCACTATATCAACTGATTGTTAGAGTAAACATATTATTTTTTTATTAGAGTAAACTTATCGTTTTTTATTAAAAAAAAATAAAATTTTTGTTAGTTCTTTAGAATTTCTATTTGCTCAAAATTTTACTTTATATGAAATAAAGATTGTCATATTAATTTTTAATTAGAATTGGGAAGTTGGTGCACCACGTAACATATTTTAATTTTTTTTTCATGAACATGACATTTTAATAGATTGCCCATGTTAACGAAAATGCTACGATTGGAAAATATTGATTAGAAATATGTGAGAAGATAGTAAAAGCAACAACAAGTTGGTCTAGTGGGATGAGGTACCAGGTCCCTTAAGTAAGATCAGGGTTCGAATCTTGGCGTTTGCGAATGGAGCAAACTGGGTTGGGAGGGTTATCCTCGTCTTTGCAGTACCTGATCTGGATTAGTTGATTAATAGATCAGATATCCGTGATTAATTAAAAAAAAAACAGTAAAACCTGATATGTTGCACATGTTACACAAGTAAAGCCAACTAAAAATTGAACATTATCATGACTTCATCATTCTACTGCATGCTTACACGAGGAAACTGTTAAAGTTTAATGCAAGAAAAATAAAAAGAATTTTCAGCCACTAGTAGTTTTATATCGTAAAGGAATACAATTACCAGCTCTTCAACTACCTAGAGCTCCTGCTGGTTCTGATGTAAACCAGAGTTTCCATCCAACTGCCTTTTTTCAGCTATCTCTCCGAACTTCTCCATCGATTCCAGAGAATATTTTCCCTTCAGATGTGGGTCAATAATGGTGTCAAGCGACCTTTGTCTCTGCCATCTCATTGCCCACTCAGCAAGATTTATCTGATCTTCTGGCAAGCTCGGGTTGATAACAGCACGAGCGCAAACAACTTCGAACAGCACCACACTAGAAGAGTAGACATCGGATTTCTCGGTCAACTGCTGTCTGCGAAAATACTCAGGGTCAAGGTATCCAAAGCTCCTCTTCACTGCATTACTAACATGAGTATGTTCCAAAGAAGGATCAGTTTTTGACAGCCCGAAATCCGACATTTTAGCCACGAAATTTTCATCCAACAAAATGTTGGTTGTTTTAACATCCCTGTGAATAATTCCCCGCTCTGCTCCTGTGTGAAGGTAGTGCAGTCCCCGGGCAGCACCAATGCATGCTTCTAACCGCTGCTTAGATGACTTCTAAGAGTTCCATTTGCCATGTATTCATAGACCAAGATCATCTCATTTTGCTCATCACAGAATCCAATCATGGAGACCAAGTGCCTATGCCTAATCTTTGAGAGCATCTCAATCTCAGTATGAAATTCAGCAAGCCCTTGGTCAGATTGTGGATTTGCCCGCTTTGTGGCTGCAAGAGTGCCATCTTCGACCTCCCCTTTTAATACCTTGCCAAAGCCCCCTACCCCAATCACTAAACTTTCATCAAAACTATTGGTTGCTGCCCGAATCTCAGCAAGTGTAAATTGCTTACCAACACCAGTGAAGGCCATAGATCTATTTGGGTTTAGAAGTCTAGATGATCGCTTGGCATTAGCAGAGCTATTTAAAATAGAACCATGAAGGAATAATGGTCGCCACCCAGGAACATTGTTTTTTGTGTCACCTGATTCTTTTCCTTGTTTTTTGAAGAAACGGATTATACGGATAACAGCAACTGCAAGAATGGCTACACCAGCAGCAATTCCCACCCAGAGAACCGAGAGCTTTGAAGGATGATTTGAACTCCCAGTTGAATAATATCTCTGCACATGTGCAAGGTTTCCATTTCGGCTAAGATTGAAAATCTCCAGCCCATTCAAGAGAGCATCAGTGCCTGAAGCACCATCTGCTGTGTCAGGGCCGATTTGAATCCAGAGGGTATTGATTTGTGAAGAAACAGCATCAAAGTAATCCTGATGATAGGCTTTACTCATTCCACCTGCCTTCACAGAAAGGTCATAATTATTTGCTGCAGTCCGGTTATTTATGTAGATTATGAAAATCCTCAGGTTTGGCTTATCAAAAACCAGCTCACAGAAGTGTAGGCGAATTAAGTAATCAAAACCAGGATCCACTTCAAACCTCCATGACATATTGAATCTTTTCTCCAAGACTTGGTTGTTAGACATGCTTCTTGTTGTTTCATACACAAGAACATTGTTAGAAATCAAATTTGATTTCTAAATATTGAAAAGTAAAAAAAAGGTGGCTAAAGTGCATGGCGGCAAAGATACTATCACGTGAAAGATGGTGAGGCGGTATGAGAAGATAAGATGAAATGATGGCAGTAGTTTGTAAAACATGTGGTAACACCAAATGTTGAGTTAGCAGCAAACAATTCTTATCAAATAAGAATGAACTTTGAAAAATCAAAATTGCATGGAATTTAATCAAGGCAAGCAAGTATTAAGCCGGCAGAGAGAAATTGAGAAGCATCCACAGAGCTAAAAATAAGTCGGTTACTATACCTATAAATATGTATGTAGATTAGTTTTATATGTAATACAAGTGATAAAAAAATGTAAGGGAAGGAATATGAGGAAAAACTTAGAAAAGAAAGAATGAGAGATAGCTTAGCAAAACTATGAGAGAATTGAGTAAAGCTTAGCAAAGCTTAGAATAGCGAGGTTGTGTTTGTAAACTAGCCGCAACTAGTGTTATAGTGTTTGTAAACTAGCATCAGCTAGTGTTGTATTGTTGTAGTATTATAATATTATGTTAATGTCGTTGTAACGCATTTTGCCTCGTATCAATAATAGTTCGAGTTATAAAAATTACTTGAGTGCCCATCTACGCTTCCATCTAGTGGCATCAGAGCTTGGTTCGAGTTTAACATAGTGGAGAAGATGGACAACATGATTCAACCATAAATCCCGAGATTGATAAAGACGAATTATAGAAATTGGAGCATTCAAATAAAGACGTTACTAGGCTTCCAAGATTGTTGGGATATCATCGAGGTGGTTACACCGAGACTTAAAATGCAGCAGCAGAAACATCCCTATCCAATGAAGAAAAGAAGGTATTGAAGGAATCTCGGAAAAAGATAAAAGAGCGTTGTTCTTTATTTTTCAAGGAGTAGACGAATCTACCTTTGAAAAAATTTCTGATGCGAAGACTGCAAAACAAGCACGGAAGATTTTACAAAAATCTCTACAAGGTTCCGAAAAAGCAAAGAAGATACATTTACAAACTCTTAGAGTTGAGTTTGAGATGTTAAAAATAAAAAATACAAAAAAATCGATGATTATATTAGCCTTGTAAAAGCGGTAGTGAATGAAATGAAAAGAATGGTGAATCACTCAACGAGGTTAGAGTGATGAAAAAAATTTTACGGTCATTGACGAGAAAATTCGATTACGTGGTTGTGGCAATCGAAGAATCGAAAGATTTGTCTCAAATATCGACCGATGAGCTTGTGGGTTCACTTCAAGCCCATGAGCAGAAAATGAAACAAAATAAAGATTCTGAAAATTTGAAGCAAGTTCTAAAAAGCAAGATGAATGTCAATGAAGGAGAAGCTAGCAGCAGCTACACACGAGGCCATGGAAATCGTGGTGGTTATCGTGAAAGATACAGAGGAGGACGAGGAACTTATGGATGTGGTAGTCGATCATATGGCACCGATCAAATAAGTGAAAATAATCCAACATCAGGCCGTGGATGAGGATTCAGAAGCCGAGGTAGAGGAAGATATCAACAAGGAAATAAATCACATGTACAATGTTATAATTGCAATAAGTATGGTCATTATAGTTATGAGTGTAGATTTGTTCCTAAACAAGAAGAAAGAAATAACTTAACAACAGCTGGAGAAGAAAAAATTGAAAAATCTCATGTATTTCTTACTTATAAAGGAAATAAAGAATTCAAGAAAAATATTTAGTATCTTGATAATTATGCCAGTAGCCATATGTGTGGTCGAAATGAGCTGTTTCTGAATTAGATAAAACAGTCCATGGGCGAGTAAATTTCGAAGATGACTCGCACGTAGAACTAAAAGGAAAAAGCGAAGTCATGATTACTCAGAAAAATAGAGAAAAGAAATACATTTCATATGTTTATTATGTACTTGCTTTGAAAAGCAATATCATCAGTTTTGGTCAACTCTTGGAAAAAGGATATGAAGTGCAGATGAAGAATCGCTCGCTTACCATCAAAAATAAAGAAGGAGAATTGATAGCCCAAGTTAATATGACTCGAAATCGTCCTTTACAATTGATATCGAGTTGGGAGAAGTCAAGTATATGAAGACCGCAATCAAAGATGATTCATGATTACGACATCTAAGATATGGACATCTTGGATTTTATGGATTGAAGTTGTTATCAAAAACAAGTATGGTGAAAGGACTACCAGAGATTAACCCTCCAAATCAATTATGTGAGGCTTGCATTAAAGGAAAGCAACATAGACAAAGCTTTGAAGTTGGTAGATCCTGGCGTGCCCGAAGACCGCTGAAGATAGTACACATAGATATAGCCGGTCCTTTTGATATACCATCGCTTGGCGGTAGCAAGTACTACCTAACTTTTATTGAAGATTTTAGTAGAAAATATTGGACTTATATCTTGAATTAAAAGTCAGAAGCATTAAAAAATTGAAAGAATTTAAAGCAATGGCGGAAAATCAAAGTGATCAATATTTGAAGATAATCAAATCAGATAGAGGAGGTGAATATAGATCAAAGTTATTTGAAGAATTCTGTAAAGAGCATGACATCATCCATCAGTTGACAGTTAGATACATGTCACAACAGAAT